CTCCTCCCCCCCCGCCACAGGACCACAGCCTCAGTGACCTCATCTGGGAAATGGGAGCAGTAAATGACACCTACTCCCAGGTTTGGATGCAAAGCTCTCAGCACAAGGCCTAGCACCGTTAGCTCAGCTCAGGAGAGGCCAGTACCACGAGCGTCATCACCCTCATGCACCCTGAGGCCAACAGAGCCGAGGACAGCTCCCGGAGGAACCTCTGGGGTTGGGTGGGATGGGTGGACAGCTGCCTTCGAACAGGGACAATAATCACAATCCCAACTTCCAGCCACTGAGTACCTGCTGGGGGCTGCCACGTACCAGGCACTGTGCCAGCCACTTTTCATAGGGGAAATCATGTATTCCCCATTTAACAGATCAAGAAACTGAGGCTCAGAGAGGGACCGTGGCTTGCCCAGGGTCACCACGGAGTTGGTGGTGGTGCTGGGATGGACACTGAGCGCCATTTGGGGCTTCCTTCCTGCTGCCTCCCTTCAGAGCCCGCAGAGCCCTGTGCTGGGCCTGGCGGGGAGCGTTCACTTGGCCTTATTTAAAGTTGCAATTATCTGTCCCATTTCCCACTGGCTGCGGCGGAGCTCTCTGGGGAGCTGGGGAGACCCTGGTGGAGGATGGAGTTCCTAAGGAATCCTCCCCGGCCCCCGACTGACTGAGCACGGGGACGTGAGCTCCTGCGGGGGGGGGGAGTCCTCCTCCCGCACCGGGCCTCTCTCCCCTCTGCCCCCGCCCAGGGAGCAGACCAGGCCAGCGGGGGGTTCCCCCGCGTGGGAAGGCTCCTTGTCAGTCCTGCAGAGGTTGAGGGGGTCACCCCACAGGTGAGGCCTGAGGGACGGCAAGGGTGCAGCACGAAGGAAGCACCCAATGTAGAGATGGGAAGACTGAGGCAGCCTGGGGCTTGGTCCGAGATCCCTTGGTGAGGTGGCGGTGTGCGGGGCCTGAAACTCAGGGCAGCACAGGCCTAGGAAATGGGTCCTAGAAGGCGCGTTGAGCAGTGGACAGACGGAACCGGGGAAGGGCCCAGGGCAGGGGAGCAGGGTCAAGGCGCTCACGGACAGAGTCTGCGCTGTCAGCACGTGAGTGCTTTGCAAGGGGGCGGGGTGCAGCGGGAGCCCCTTCTACAGACCAGGGCCTCGGAAAAGAAGGTCAGGGCCAGAGCCAGGTGTCAAGCACTCAGCCCTGTGGCCAGAACTGGTTCCCAGAATGTCGGGCTCCGGGTCCCCCACTCCCCTCCCAGACACAGACTCGGACTAGGACATGCCGCTGCCCCCTTCTCCCACAGCACCCCTGCCCACAATCCCCCCCCTCTCTTCCCATTTCCACACCCTCCAACACCGAGCACCTGTGTCTGCCCCTGCGACAGCCCCCGCCTGGAGGAACCCACAGACTGGCGAGGGTGACGGCCAGGTGCCGGGGCCAACACCGGGGAACCAACGTAGCGCAGGGTGTATCCCGGGCAGCCGAGAGATGGGCTCCGCAGCCATCTAGATTTGACCCCCACTTCTCGGCCCAGTGGCCCCAGGCAAGCCCCAACCCTCCCTTTCTGAGCTGGGGAAGGAAGGGAACAGATCAGTACCCGCCTTGCAGGTGGCTGTGACTAGATCACGTACGTGAAGCGCTTAGCCCGGAGCCGGCTGTAGTAAGTGCTCAGTAAAACGAGGACTGTTGTCGTTACAACTCCAATTTCTACACGAGTTGGCGCAAAGCAGGCATTCCGTAAACAGAAGTTATGATGTTATTATGGCCAACACCGGCCAGGCCACCCCCGGCCAAGGCTGAGGCAGACAGAATAACGGCCCCCAAAGAGGCCCTGTCCTAATCCCCAGAACCTGCGAATGTTACCTTATGCAGCACAAGGGACTTTGCAGATGAGATTAAATTAGGAACCTCGATAGTGGGGAGATTATCCTGGATTATCCAAGCAGCCCAGTGTAATCACGAAGGGCCTTTTGAGAGGGAGGCGGGAGGGCCAGCGTTAGAGAGATGTGACCACGCGGCAGAGGTTGGAGGAGGGAGACACGAGCCCCGGGTGCAGCCTCTAGGAGTTGGAGGAGGCAGAAAATGGCCTCCCCCCGGAGCCTCCACCCCCAACACCCATTTCAGCTCAGTGAAACTCATTTCGGACTTCGAACCTTCAGAACTGTAACATAAGGAATTTGCACAGTTTTAAGCCACTAAGTGGGTAGTGATCTGTTACGGCAGCAACAGGAAACTGACCGACCGTCCTCAGCAGAGAAAGCAGTTGTCTCTGCCCATGCGCAGCGGCTCAGCTGGAGCCCTGCACACTCGCCCCTCACCGCTGAGCAAAAGCCCGGACCCTCTGCTGAGGGGTGGGGTGTTGGGGGGGGTCAGGGCACTTTGGCTCACAGCTGTGGTTGAGGGGAACACCCCCCATCCTGCGTGCCCATCCGGGAGAGGCTTGGGCTGTGCAGGGGCTGATGTTGGTCCCATGTACCTGGTCACGGGTGGCCCCGGGGACAGACTCTGTTCTGGAAGGATGGGAACGCAGGGTGGGGTGGGCTGTCTCAGGGCTGCCGTGTATTCAGTGCTCGCCATGTGCCAAGCCCCGTGGGGACCTAACCTTCCCAAAGCTCTGTGAGGCAGAAAATATTATCAGCCCCACTTTACAGATGAAGAAACTGAGGCTCAGAGAAGTGACTCTGTCCACGCTTAGGCCACTTAGATCCTGGAAGGGGACCTCAGCTGGGCCCTGGCCGTGTGCAGCTGGGGCCGCTCTCTGCCCCGGCACCCCCTGGGCCTCGAGGTAGCAGCCAGGCCCCTCGTCTGCCCGCGGAGGGTCTGCACGGTAGCTGGTCACAGGTGCAGGCTGCTGCAGAGAGCTGGCCTCCGGGGGAGGAAGAGACGCTGGGACTGACTGGGGACCAGCACTGCTGGACCAATGCCACCCGTCCTCGTGGGGAGGGCTGTCGCCAGTGCAGAGCCTCTCCGTGCCTTCCCGCAGCTCGGCCCATCACAGCCCCATCTCGCAGAAAATTATGATAAAGAGAAGGACTACAACAACGGCCACTGGTCGAGTCCCTATCCGTGCCAGGCACCAACCTACGCACTTGCTGACGTCTCATTCTGTGTCCTTACACATCCCCTAGGGGGACACTCCTAAATCATCCTCATTTCCAACTAGGACATGCGGATTCAGAGAGGAGAGGGGGCTTCTCCAGGTCGCACAGCCAGGAAGGGCCCCGCCGGGGGTAGGAGGCTCAGAAGGCTACTCGTGCCACGCCCCTGGCCGCCGGTAACAACCTCGTACAGCGGAGGAGACGGACACACGGACGCGCCGGCTTGCTCCGGGCTCGGGGACTCGGCACGGAGGTGGGCTGGGAACCTGGGCTCCGGGCCCGAGAAGAGGCTGCCTTTCTCTCTGCCGCAGGGCATGCCTGTGCCACCCTGGGGGGGGGGGCGCAGGGGCTCCAGCCCAGGGCTCTGGGGCCCCGGCAGGGCGCGGGGGTGTCCGGACTCTGCCCAGAGACGTGTGGCTCTGGTTCCACCTGCTCCTGTCGCCGGTGGGACACCAGCAGCTGGGAGCTGGGAAGCCAGGATCAGGGGTCCCCAGTGGCCCTTGGTGCCACCAGGGACACCGCCTGTACCCTGGCCCCTTCCCATAAGCCACCAGGAGACGTTCGCCTCAGATGACTCCGGTGTGTTGGTGCCAGGCTGGGCGTCTGCCGCAGCAGGCCTCAGAGCCCCGCTCGGAATCCCGATCGAGCTATTTTTAATGTGCTTCAATTTTCATTTTCTTTTATTGGAAAACACAGATGGTGACTTGCTGCCCCCTCACACACGCTGAGCACGCGCCGACAGGGAGAGATGCGCCGCAGACACATGTACGCCCCTCCCTCGGCTGGGGAAGCAGAGCCAGCAACCAAGCCCTGCGGCTGCCGGGGCCTCAGTCTCCCCATCTGTGAAACGGGCTTTGCCGAGGCCACCCACATGCTGCCTGAGCAGGGAGGCGGCTCCAGCTGGGCATCGGCAGGAAGGGGCGTCCAGCGTAAGGGGCACAGCTGCCAGGGGGAGGGAGGAAGGATCTCGAGCAACACCCCAGCCACGCTGTGAGGTCGCCCCGACCCCATCCCGCAGAGGAGGACACGGAGGCTCAGGAGGTGGGGGGCGCCCTGCCCGGGAGCCCCAGGTCTGTGTGAGCCCAACTCCGGTGCTCCTTCTCACCCCTCTCCGAATCGTGCCCGTCCAGATGCTCTGTTATTTATTCTTTCCATTATAAAAGCAACCCATGCTCATTAGAGACAATTTGGAAAATAAAGAAAAGTCAGATGGAAGCGTAAAGTGCAAAATAATAATTATCTCCCCCACGGCCCCTCCCCGCTCCACGCCACTGCCAACATTCTGGTGTGCGCTTTCCACGCTTTGTTTCTGCTTCCCGCCGTTCGCCACACTGCTAACATCGTTTGGTGGTGGCACAGGGTGGCAGCCGCTGTGCGTCACGATGGACACGGGCACTTTTAAAACACGCCAGCCCTGGCGTTCCCTTATCCCCCGAGACCAGAAGAACCAGAATTGTGGGGGCAGGCTGGCCATTGGCCGCTGGGGACCTGTATTGTCACCAAGCCGCCCAGGTGATGCTGACACAGCCAGCCTGGGGCAGCCCAGGGACCTGTGCTTGGCCAGACCACTGGCCCTGGAGGCGGCTGGCGTCACCTGGCTGGGCCACGGGCTGAGCTGTGTGGCCTCGGCTCAGTGCATTCACCTCTCTGAGCTGCAGTTTCCCTATCTGGAAAAATGGGACCTTCCTTGGCAGGCTCGTGGACCTTCTATCCACCTGAGACACAGCCGCCCTGCCCAGGCGGTCACTGTAACTGCCCCGAGGCCACCATCACAAGTGTCCTAAGGCCACTTTCCTGGGGTGGGGACAGTGGGGAGGCCCCGGAGCAGAGGAGGGGAGAACGGACCGCACGGGGGGTGGGGGCAGGGACTCACACAGTTTTTCGTCTCCCCCCCCCCCGTTTTGTCATTGTCCCCAGACACGGGAGCATGGCATGACCCTCCCTCCTGTGGTCGGGGTGACATGAAGCAGATTCCCAGGGGCTCCGGCTTTGGGAAGGGGGGAGGCTGCTCCCTGAGCACGGATGGGGTGGGGGCACCCGAAGCCAGGGAAGAGGGCACAGGTGGGGCAGGAGGAGCTTTCAGAAGCGAAGCCACAATAGATGTGATTAAGACTCTGCTGCCACACAGCTGTCCCTGTCCCTCCAGACCAGGCGCCACTGCCATGCCAGGAACACACCTTAGCCCAAACGCCCCAGTCCACCCTACCTGCTCAGTCTTCAGGCCTGGCTAAAAGGTTATCTCCCCGGCTCCCTCAGTTCCCCTGTCTGTGAGCCTCCACCCTGCCCCCCAGCAGGGATATAATTATTTCTGAGTGCCCCACCCCCAGCAAACTGGGGGGTCTAAGAGGGTGAGACTGGGTCGGATTATGCTCTGCATAAGCTAAGCATGAACTTCTCTATGTCTCAGTTTTCTCAGCTGTAAAATGGGTGAGTTGTGTTATGTGTCTGACTTGCCTCAGAGATTCGGCATGTACAGCAAATGAGAGGATGTGGATGCATTTTGAAACTGTAAAGCGCACAAGCCTTAGGTTGACAGGGAGAGAGGGTGCTGCTTGGGTGGGGCTTGGGGCAGGCCCTCTCCTGCTCCCCGCCCCCGACCTGCTGTTGGGGTGGGGCCCATGGGCTGCAGGAGCCATCAGGCAGCAGCGTGGCTGTGGCCAGGGGGTCCCTCCAGAGGGTGCTACTGTCATCAAGGAAGGTGAGCTGCTAACTGTCCCTTGTGAGAGTGACACCTCTCCTAAAGTATGTCCCAGAACACAATGGGGTGTAGGGTGGGAACGGCTTTGAATTCTCTGTTCAAAGGCTCAGGGCCACCTCGCCAGGGAGGCAGCGGGGCAGAGCCATCGGTGTGGACCTAGCCATGGCTGAGCCTCCTTAAAGACAACAGCAATGGGCTCGGGCACAGTACTTCACAGTTTGCAAGGCACTTTCCCATCAACCTCTCATGCTTTTCTTACAACAGGCCTGCAACGGGGACCTTCATTCACTCATCAGACCCTCCCTGAGGGCCTTTAGTAGGGCTTGTGCTGAGCTCGGCAGACTCCAAGAGGAATGAGCTCCAGCCCCTGGGGTGAGGCAGATAATGGGTTTGGGGGCAGGAAGGAGACAGGGCAGACAGACCACCGCTAAGTGCAATGAGGGGTACCAGGTTCCCTGACACAGAGGTGTGCAGGGCGTGCCTGAGCCGCACAAGGAAACAGGCAAGGCCCAGCACCCCGATTGTACAGGTGAGATGACGGTGGTTTGTGGTTCAGCGAGGCCAAGGGTTTGCTCAAGGCGCTTGGTGATGTGTGGCCACGCAGGCTCCTTTGTGGCAGGTGAGGAGGAGCCAGGAAGATAGCTAAGGAAACTGTTCCAAGCAGAAGAAACAGCGGGGGGAGTATTGTAGTATTCATTATCTCATTTAGTCATTTTCTGGTATGTTCACTAGTTAACTAGTTAACTCACCCACCCACCCATCCATCCAGCAGACGCTGGGGGCGCCCTCCCCGCGTGCCTCTGTGCTGGGGACAGGATGCGCACTGGTTCTCACAGCCAGCTCCAGCCTCGCCGACCATGAAAGCTCAGGGCGACCCAGAGAGGGGTCCAGCTGGCCCCCCATCCCACCATGTTGCAGACGGGGAAACTGAGGCCCAGAGAGAGAACCTAACCATACAAGGAAAGACCATGAGTGAGAGACGGCGCTGGGCTGTGAGTCCCATCTCTCAGGCCCCAGGCGGCAGCCAGAGCCCCCGCTGCCTTCAGAGTCACAGTCAGGCCTGGTCAAGGGCCTCGTGGTGTCTTGCTTTGGGGACGTCCTGGGAGAGGGCCACCTGCTGCAGGACACCTAGACCAGGGTGGCCCTTGATCCAAGGACTGCCTGGCACCCTCATGAGGCACCGCCTCCTGCTAGCAGGCACCGCCTCCCCCTGCACCCCCCACCCAGGATCCTTTCCAGGCTGGGGCCCTGGACACCCGGCAGGGTGCTTTCAAGTTCTCAGGGACCCTCCTCCCTCTACCTAAAAAATATCCCAATACCTAAAAAAAATCACTTACACATAATGAGCACAGTCTGGTTTTTAATATAATTAGGATAACCACCGCACAGACAAGAAGACTAAGGCTCAGAGAGATGACAATGTTTGCCCAGAGCCTCACAGCTGGTAAGCCAAAGAGCTTGGATTCACGCCTGTCTGTCCCCAGAGTCTGCTCCTAGCTTCCCTTCTAGAATGTTCTCGGCTCTTTTCCCCATCTAGTCAAATCTTATCACCCGTCAATGGCCTGCACCCTGTTATCCAAGAAGCTCCTCCAAGGGCGTCATGAGGTCCCCCCAGTGGGGCTGGGGTACCTCGGAGGCTGGGGCTCTTAGCAAAGGATGACCCGAGCTCTGAGCACCCTCGGGCCCTCACGACAGCAACCCCACCGCCACCCATGAGCATGGGGAAGGCACTCCCCCTCTCTCCCCATCTTCTCCTCTTACCATTACTCTGGGTTTTAAGAAACGTTTTTAAGTGAAAAAAAGTATACGCTTATTATGAGATATTGCAACAATATAGAAGGGTATAAAGTGAAAAGTCAAAGCTCTCTCCCCAGAAGCAGTCACAATTAGATATCATTTAGACATTTTACTGCACATAAAATGTATTTATAGAGGCATAAATGCATATTTATTCCTCTGAACGTCGCAAATGGAATCACACGCGGCACACTGTTCTTAACCTGCTTTTGCATCATAGACATCTTCTGACCCTGCTATAGAAGCTTCCAGAACATTCTTGCTGCAGCCTCCTCGTGTCTAAGGTTCTTGTATGTAGTCCCCCTCTACTCAGCCCTCAGGGTGTCTGAGAGGAGAAACTGAGGCAGCAGCAGGTGCTGCCCTGTTCTGGGCCTGGCGAGTGGGGTGGGCTCCCAGGTGGGGACGTGGCCAGCACACGCCCGTGGGCTGGAGAACATGCTCCGGCTCTCCCGCTCCCACCAGCCCCGACTCACACGCCCGGCGCCCCCGCTGCTTCCCCCACACCTCATAAATCTGCGGGGACAGGCGCGCTCCAGCCAGCCGGGACGCCCAGATAAGGTGCGCACTGGCCAAGGGCGGGGGGCTGGGGCTGGGGGCCCGGCCAGCACCGCAGCCCCGGGCCCCGACCCAGGGGGCCTGGCCGCAGGGGCCCGGGTCCGAGTGACTGAAGAAGGCTCCCTGCGCATCCGCTGGGGGACCTTCCCAGGCCAGCCGCCCGGCCGGGCTTCCTGCCTCCCCTCCGGACCTTCCCGCCGCCCATCCGTCCTGAAACCGCAGCCACACGGGCCTTCCCCGACACCCCTTTTATCATGTCACTCCCCGCGCGTGACCCACCAGTGGCTCCCCAGCGCCTGTGGGAGAAAGCGCAGACGTCTTCCCCCTCCCCCGGAATTCCTGAGCTAGCCCAGCCGCCCTCCAGCCGACAGCCCCCACCCCACCCCCGAAGCCCTCGGCCCCTGGTTTGGCTCCTTCAACCACATGATCCCACTTCCCCACTTTGTCTGCAACCGTGCAGCGAACATCCGGGTGCCCAGAGTCAGAATGTGGCTGCACCCCCCAATGGCGTGACCCTGGTCACGTCACTTACGCTCTCGGACAAAGAACTACCTGTCTAGCGCTGTTGAGAGGATTGCATAAGATGAGCTACGCAAACTGCAGGCACAGGACGTGGCCACTCGTAGGGACTAAGTGTTAATAAATGTTAGTTTCCTTCCTTTCTTCACTGTACCTAATGATAATAATAACAATATTAATAATACCAGCAAGCAAACATAGTGCTTGTGCCAGGCATAGTGGGAAGCGTTTTCATATATGAACTTATTTAATCTTCTAAACATTCGATCGAGATGGGCCCTGTATGATCCCCATTTTACAGATGAGGAAACTGAGGCATACAGCAGCGAAGTGATTGTCCACAGTCACGTGGCCATTTCGGGGCAGAGTGAAAATTCAAGCCCAGTGCATCTCACTCCCCCCAGGGGTCCCTCCTAGTGACACGGGTCCTCTCTCTGTCCTGTGTCATTCCCTTAATATCAGGAATTCAGAGGCCCACGCGGGGGGCACTGGGCCCGGAGTGCTGGGGGGAGGAGGGCAGAGCAGCCGGAGGGATGGGCCTTTCCGTGGCACTGGCGTCGTGCTCCGGACCACGGCTTGACCGCAGGGAGCCCCCTGCCTGGTCCATTTTGGGGATTCCCTCCCCGGCATCCATCTAAAAATGCCTCCTGGCCTTTGTTTACAAACAATGGTAAAAGCGAGCCTGCATGAATTCAGGGAAGGCAGGTCAGTGCAGGGAAAGGAGATGCGATTTTTCTAGCTCGCCACATGCCGTGCACGAGTCGCGCTCGGACCTCAGTGTTCTCCGGGAGAAGTTAGTGGACCCCGAGGCTGCATTCTAGAATGCTCTAAAGTGAGAACGTTTTCCCTTTCCGGTTCTCTTCCATCCCTGATCCCTCAAAGAGAAAGTCTCCACCGGGGCTGCTGAGACTAACACCTCTGACACATGCTGGCCTTTTTCAACAAGGAGAGAGCAGGACGCTGCTCACCTCGTCCCACCTGCTCCTCTCCGCACCCGCGGGCCTCTCCCTTCCGCCCGGCGCCTGCAGGGGCCCGGCCTCCGCACCTGCAGCGAGCCAGTGTGTGCAAGGAAGGGCGGGCGGCGGTGCCAAGGTGGCGTGTCCACCGCCTGCACCAGGTCCGGGGAGACGGAGCCCAGGCGCCCACAGCGGTGCCCAGCTCCGCAGCCCGCCCTGGCGCTCTCTTTGCCTGCCTCCCCGCGCCCCTCTCTGGCCCCCCAACCCTCGTCTCTGGCTCCTCTCCTTTCTTCGGGAGCCCAGCCAAGAGAGGGAGCATCACGCTGGAGCGAGTGTAATCGCCCTGCCCTGTCTCTGCTGTATTTATAGTTGCAGGTACCTTCTGTTTGCGTCAAGAGATAGCGGTGTTTTATTTATGGCAGGGATATGGACTTTCCATC